GAGCGTCCCCGGCCGCGCCGGCACGGCAGCCGCACCATGGATCCTTCCAGCTCGCCCAGCTCCTGCTTCTCCGTCGGCCCCGCCTGCCCCGGCGCCGTGGGGCTCCTCTACCCGGTAGGCGCCCGGGGTCGAGGCCCGGGCGGGGCTGGAGGGCGCTCCGCTCCCCCGGCCCCGCCCCGGCCCCCTCCGGCCCGCGACCCGTGGCCCCAAGAGCGGGTGGCGCGGCTCCCGCGCAGGGGGCCGGGGCTCGGCGCGGTCTCCAAGGCGACGGGGGCGGCGGCGGGTCTGGGCCACCGCCTGGGGAAGGCTCGGCGGGCGGGGCCCCCTGTGGCTCCTTTCCGCTCGTTCCTTCTTTCTGTCCATCGGGCCCTGGGCCTTCCGGGAGCCCCTGGGCCCCGGAAGGAGGGGTGAGGCTGGGAGGGCCCGGCAAGCCACCCTGGGGCCAGCTGGGGCTGAGCCAGCCTGCGAGAGCCCGAGGCTGTGCCCCCCGCCCGTGACTGCCCTGGGATTCCTGGAAGAAGAGACTTGGGTGTGGAGACAGAGTTTTTAAAGGCCGTCTCCCAGGTGGGAAGATTCAGAACTTCTGGACATTTTCACGGCCTGTGTTTATCCACCACCCGTTATTGTACTTTTCTTTTTGGAGGGCAATTAATGCCACCCAGCCTCTCAGCAAGTGGCCCTCTTCCTCTACTGGCTTGGACCGGTCTTTTAGCCAGCAGAATGCTGGTCACTCAGTGATGTTCTTTTTTTTTTTTTTGAGTCGGAGTCTCACTCTGTCGCCCAGGCTGGAGTGCAGTGACACACTCACGGCCCCCGCAGCCTCGACCTGCTGGGCTCAGGCAGTCTTTCTACCTCAGCCTTCCAAGTAGCTGGGACTACAAGCAAGCCCACCTAGCTCATTTTTTTTTATTATTATTGTAGAAATGAGGTCTTGCCCAGGCTGGTCTTGCACCTATGGGCTCAGGCAATTCTCTCACCTCAGCCTCCAAAGTGCTGGGATTTTAGGCATGAGCCACTGCGCCTGGCCTAGAGAACTTTCTTTTTTTTTTTTTTTTTTTTAAGTCGGAGTCTCCCTCTGTTGCCCAGCCTGGAGTGCAGTGGCATGCTCCCAGCCACGGCAGCCTCAACTTGCTGGGCTCCAGCAATCCTTCCAATTCAGCCTTTCAAGTAGCTGAAACTACAGGCGAATGACACCATCCCGCCTTATTTTTTGAGTTACTGTAGAGACGAGGTCTCACCAAGTTGCCCAGGCTGGTCTCGCACCTCTGGGCTCAGGCAATCCTCTTGCCTCTGCCTCCCAAAGTGCTGGGATTACAGGTGTGGACCACTGTGCCCATCTTTTCTTTTTTTAAAGAGACAAGATCGCGCTGTTTGCCCAGGCTCATTTTGAACTCCCAGGCTCAAGCGGTCCTCCAGCCTCAGCCTCCCAAAATGCTGGGGTTGCAGGCATGCCTGACCCAGTGTTGGTTTTTGAACCACAAAATTAATTTTTAGCTACTTTAGGAGGAAATAAAAGAATGCATTTTAAAAGCATATTTCCGTGCTTTTAAGATGCAGGGTGGTTAGTGTCAGTTTCTGACTTAAGCATTCATTTGTACAGGAAGGTCAGAACAAGGAAAACATAAAAGAGCTAGATAAGCCAAAACCCCACTTTCAAAATATGGCTGCCTTTCGGAATATGGCTACCTTCCTATTGGGACATCAGGATTCTTTGGAACATGGGGAAACTCTGTCCCCTCTCTGTCAAGAACTTTGGGTTTATGTCTGCTGTTAACCGCCTACTTCTCTAAAGCTACTTCTACAACCTGTCTCTTCACTGGTCTTCCCACCCCCACAGTTCTGTGTGGAAATATTCTGGCTTTGTTTTCCGACTCTACTACTCCAGAGCAGGCACGTGGGGAAGAGAGTTGCTGTGTAGATTCAGCTTGCAGCACACAGCTTTGTTTGCCCCACACCGGTTTGTGAATTGGCTGGAATTTCCATCTTGTATATTGTGTTACAGAAAGGAATTGTGGTTTTGTTTTTTTCTTTGATTTCCCCTTTCGTCCTTTATTTTTGAATAAGACTTTTGTCAACTTTTTCTTGTGAATGACTAAGGCAGTTGTATGTGAGCATATTCTACTTCTGATGCTGGACAGCAACCCTCTCCTTACCAGTAGTTCCTTGCCACTCTTGTGACTGCATAGCTTTACTTCCTTGACAGCCTGAACTTTTTCTTGAATGTCAGGCTATCTGTTTATTTCCTCGGCCACACTGTTATTACATAATACTCTCTGCCTGATCTGAAAGTAGCACTTTAGAAATGTTTAGGATACTGCCGATTGCCACAGACATTAAAAATATGTACAGTATCCTAGCCATTATTCTCATTGTGTAAAATATCGAAGTTACAGATCAAGCCCTTGCCTTCAAGAGCACAGAATTCATAAAAGTAAACAAATCGTTACAACCAAGTGGGATAAGGGCAACAATTAAAGCATGCACAGTATGTTGTGGGAGTAATGAGAAGGGATACCTAACCTGTTTGGGGACTTAGAGAAAGAAGGCTTCTAAGAGGAGGCGACACATGGGCTGAGTTTTTGAGGTGTGAATGGGAACTGAGTGGGGGAAGACTTTTCTAGGCATCCAAGCAAGAAAACCTTTTTTTTTTTTGTGCATATTTGGGCTTCGAATTAGTCAGTTAGCTTGGGTGGAGTGAAAGAGACATGAGAAACAAAAGTAAGTAAGTAGGCAGAGGATATTTCCTAAAGGAATTTAATGTATCATGTTTACACATCCTTGAGGATAAAAATTTTAACCTTATCAGAGCCCTAAATCTTAACATTTATGTTTTTGAGAGTCTAAGAGGACCTGCCAGGTTTCTGGTGTAATTTTCTATGTGGGCAGCCTATTCTGCTTAGGCAGATATAGTTGGAAGAGAACCGGGTTGGGAAAGAAATCTGATGCAAACATGGAGATCATTTGGGATGCTATTGCAGTAATCCCGAAAAGTGGTGAAGCCTGAAGTAAGGCAGTGGCAATGAGCCTGGAAAGATGAATGAATTTGTGGGATATTGAGGACAGCCAATCAACAGCCCTTAGAACCCACTGAATATGGTGGCTAAGGAAAAGGAGGTAGTGTGAAGTTGACTGTTGGGTTTCTGTGATTTGGCAAGAGGGTGGTTGATGATGCCTTTCACTGATAGGAAATACGGGAACAGGAGCAGCATTAGTCAGAATAATGTAATATGTAATAATTTCAGTTTTGGGGTGTGTTCGGTCTGTGACGGCAAAAGTAATGCTTTTTAGTTTAGGATTATATTATGGACCAGATACATCACAAAGTGTTTGAGAGACATCCAGCAAGAGTTAGAGATAGGATGCTAGAGCAAAAGAGGAAGATCTGCCCTAAATACACAGATTTGGCATCATCAGCAAGTAGGTTGTGCCTGAAGCCATAGGTGAATTTCAGTGAAACTGTAGATCGAAAAGAAGCCCAGAGATGGTTAAGTGCTGCTGTGCCGTAGTGTAAATCAAGGCTTCTGTTACAGTCTCGGAAAGATCTGGGTGCCTTACCATGTCCCACGGGAACTCTACGTGAGCTGGTAACAGCTATCGCTCTGACTTCTTGTTCTCTAGGCTTCAGCCGCCCCGGCCTCCTGTTGCTCAGACAGTGAGCATGCTCCCAGAACGCTCCCAGTCCCCTCAAGGTGGCAGGCTGTTTTCCCAGAAGTTTCTGTTGCTGGTTCTTTTATCGTTGGGGTCCCAACTCAAAAATCATTTCCCCAGAGAGATCTTCTAAGTAGTTCGCTGATCGCTCTTCCTCATTACCCTACTGTATTCTCTTTCCAGTTTTGTGCTGATTTGTGAGGACTGATTGCTAAATTTTCATGAAGTTTGTGAGTCCATTGTTAAAACACAGCCATTATTAAAAATTAAAGATTGCGTTATGTAAGTTTCCAATTAAATTCTGTTAAAAACAAAAGTAATACTCAAAACTTAGCATTTTCTACTTACTTCCCTGAATTGTCCTATTATGTATGCTCTTGAGGTAGTTTGTAACTGTCGTTCTGGGCGGTGGATATCCCATATAACTGTGAGCTACTGCACATCTCTCCCCAACTCTGTTGACTGCGGTCGAATTGGTAGCTTGAATTCTGCTGTGGTGATAGTATTATGTACCTCAGAAATTGGCAAATGCTATAACTCAGGGCTTTCCCATTTCAGTTGTTAAATGGTTAAACACTAACCGTTTAACCACCACCATTAGTGGTGGTATCACTAAGTGAACTTACCTTGTTGGTCTGGTGTTGTCGCTTTCCTTAGGGTCACGTGAGCTCCCTCAGTGCAGTCGCTGCCTGCTTTGTTCATGCTGTACTCTCAGCCTGTAAAACAGTGCCCCGTACGTTGCAGACTCCTGGTGCCTGTCCACAGAATGAAGGGGTCCTCCAGAGCAGTTGAAAGGAAACTGCAAGGAAGGCCTGTTGAGCTGTCAACAGGGAGAGGCCCGCCACATCGGTTCAGATGGGGAGAGATACTGGGCCTCTGTCTTCTTGCTCGAGCTCTTTTTATTGTGTTCCTGGGTGAATAGTCATGTAAATATGTTTACTTAATCACAGCAACTACTTCTTCAGAATGGTATAGAGAAGACCAATCCATGAGCAGTAACATTCAAGCCTAGCTGCATTTGAGAATCACTGGGAGTACTTTTTAAATTCCATTTTTTTGTTTATTTATTTATTTTCACTTTTTTCCTGTCTTGACAGAATTCTTTTTAAAAGAATTCTGTCGTGACCCGCCTGGGCAACTTGGCAAGACCTCATCTCCATAATAAATCAAAAAATCAGCCGGGCGTGGTAGCGCGTGCCTGTAATTTCGGCTACTCGGATGGCTGAGGCGGAAGGATCGCCGGAGCCCAGCAGGTCAAGGCTGCGGTGGCCGGGAGCGGCCACTGCACTCCAGTCTGCGCGACGGAGTGAGACTCCAACTCAAAAAAAAAAAAAAAAGATCTCTGATGCCTAGGCACCACTCACAGACCTAATTAATCAAGAATCTCTAGAGGTGGAGCCTGGGATACCAGTAATTTTTTAAGTGCCCCAGGTTATTTTAATATGCTCAATGGGACGCCAACAATGACGTGTTTTGGGAGATGCAACTCACTGTGGAGTGGACTGTGGAGTTGCTAGGCTATGAGCGGGAAGGAAAGGCCAGGTCATGGCAGTATCACATGACACAAGAATTGGCTTCGGTCTTATTCTGAAGGAGTTAGGAGTATTTAAGTAGGAAATAATCTGGTCAGAGTGGTGTTTTGAAAAGAGCACCATAGCAGCATGGAGGATTAATTCCATGGAGGCAAAAATAGGCATGGAGACCAGCAAGGAGACTATTGTAGTGAAGAGAAACGGCTGCACAGGAAGCCCGTGCTGAAACAGTGGCCATGGCAATGAGGAGTGAATGTGGTACATTCTTCCAGCCAGGCTGACAGGATTAGTTGGATTGGGTAGAGAGGGTGAGGGAGGAGTCTAGAATTATGTAAAGGGATGGAGATTGCATGGCGGTTGATGATTACGATTTCAGGAAAACAATCAGGTTGTAGATCTGTATAGGAGAACTGAGTCTGGTTTTGGAAAACACATGTGAGTGTTTTCCACTAAGTATGTATGACAGGAGCTTAAGTGGGAGAAGAGAACAGGGTAAAAGATTTGGAAGCACATATGCTTAGTATTCGCAGAAAAATCTCAGGATGGTTGAAGAGGGAAAATGATGTCAAGCTATAGTGAAGTCTAGGAGGATGAAGACTGGAAAAAAGCCTGGAATTAATTATTAAACTGAAAGAAATGAAAAGAGTTATGCACAAAGATTATGTTTAAGAATGTCTGTTGCATTTGTGTATGCTACCCAGGGTGAAACATGATTCAAATGTCCGATGTTAAAATTAATGGAAGAGCTGGGCTCGGTGGCTCAGCCTGTAATCCCGTGCCTTTGGGAGGCTGAGGTGAGTGGATTGCCTGAGCCCGCGGGTTCAAGACCCGCCTGGGCAGCAAGACCTCATCTCTACGATAAATCAAAAAATCAGCCAGGAGTGGTAGCGCATGCCTGTAATTCCGGCTCCTCGGAAGGCTGAGGCTGAAGGATCCCGGAGCCCAGCAGGCGAGGCTGCGGTGGCTGGGAGCGGCCCCTGCACTCCAGTCTGGGCGACAGAGTGAGACTCCAACTCAAAAAAAAAAAAAATGGAAGACACTTAAATGACATGGAGGAGGATTTGACATAAAGTAGAAAAATCAGATTGCAAATCATAGTGTCTGTGTGGTGGGGAGAAGGAATATGCAGAGAAAAAGGCATTCATTAGAATGGTCTCTGGGTCATGTGATTGCAGTGCTTTTTATTGTTTTCTTTGTACTTTACTGTATTTTCTAAATTTTTACAATGAACGTGTATCACTTTGGTAATTTTTTAAAGTTATTTTAAGAAGTTGGGGAACTTAAAGATGATTATGCAGCCCATCAAATGTTTTTAAAGGGTATTTAATATTGGGAAATACCCATAATTGAGAAATATGGTTTATATTTTGAATTTTACAATATGCATTTATACAGCTATGAATGAAAAATATGAAACTACTAAGTAATAAGAGTAGTTATTCCTGGGGTATAAAATTGTGCAGTTTATATTTGCTTGTATGTCCATGTTTCCAAATTTTCCATGAACAAACATGGTAAGTAGTACAGGATGATGGTTAGTAGCAAGATCTGTGAAGCCATAAGTCTCAAGTTTGAATGTCTCTGCCTTTTACAAGCTGTGGGACCTTGCAGGGATTATTTCACTTCTCCATGCCTTGGTTTCTCCATTGTAAAACGGGGTTCATGATAACAACTGCTTCATAAGTTTGTTGTGAGGATTGTTCTTTAATATACAAAGCTCTTAGAATAGTGCCTGCCTCTTAGTAAGCTATAATTATTACTACTATTACTATTATAATCAGAAAGTTAGATTAATAATTCGGAAGTAATTGGTAGCCTTATAAGAGCAGTTTTAGGGACTGGTTGGATAGTATCTGAATTTCAGTGGACTGAACAGGAGATAAGAAAGTTACCATAGCAATTGACTTCTCAATAGTAGCTTATGTGAGCACTTGTTTCTTCTTTTGTTTGTACTCATGTAGGTTTGTTTTATTTGACATAATTTGGTTTGTGATATATGTTTTTATTTAATTTTTAAAGCTAAATAAAGGCAAACAAGACAAGTTTTCATGTGGTAGGTAAAATTGATCAGGTTATTGTAGAGCTTAATGTTGCCTTTTTGCTATCTTTGTTAAATTTCCCCAAGGGGTATTGGCTGTACAAAGATAGCAATCAGAAACATAGTGATGATAATAAAATATTAATATAATTCAATATCAGTTTATTGATCCTAATTGTATTTCTTAGTGTATGAAAAACCTAACCTCAGAACATGTCATAGAATAAAAAATTTGGCAGAGATGAAGGATTACCAATCTAGTCCCTAATCTGTCGTAATTTATTTAACAATATATGCTTATTGCTTTCTTTCATTTTGCCTTACCCATAGAAGGAGCTCAAAAAGTGGGATGAGTTTGAAGATATCTTAGAAGAGAGGAGGCATGTCAGTGACTTGAAATTTGCAATGAAATGCTACACACCTCTCGTCTATAAGGGAATAACTCCATGTAAGCCCATTGATATTAAATGTAGTGTTCTGAATTCTGAAGAGATTAATTATGTCATTAAACAGGTAAGTGATTTCGTCTTCAACCATGACCAGATTTGTTCATTGTCAATAAGTTATTTCTCTTCTTAATTCTATGAATTTATTTTGCTGTCTTTAATGTATCCTTTTAGGTTGAGCAACATTTACCACATTCATCAAATATTTATCATACCCATAGTATGTGTTAGCCTCTTTGCTAGACACTTGTAACAGGGAGCAAATTGAGCACAGTGTATATAATCTTGTAGGGAATGATGACAGTTGTACAGTTAGTTACAATGAAATATGACGTGAGGCCTGCAAGTCAGAGTCCAATATGGAGAAGCACTAAGCACTAAATAATCATAGGGGCAACCAATTTGGCTTAGGGAGGCACGGAAGTGAATTTTTTTTTCTTTAGTGAGGTCTGAGGCTGGGTGTGATGACTCATACTTGTAAATCCCAGCACTTTGGGAGGCCAAGATGGGAGGATTGTTTGAGCCCAGGAGTTCAAGACTAGCCTGGGGAGCATGCGAGACCTCATCTCTACAAAAATGAAGAAAAAAAAGCCCAGTGTGGCACACATAACTCTAGTTCCAGCTACTCAGGAGGCTGAGGTGGAAGGATCTCCTGAATCCAGGAGTTTGAGGCTATAGTGAGCCAAGTTTGTGCCACTTCACTCCATCCTGGGGGACAGACAGTATGAGACCCGACTCACAAATTGAAAAAATAAAAATGAGGCCTGAACGATGATGAGGAATTTTTTAGGTGGAGCAGGTAAAGAAGAGTATTCCTAACAGAGAACATAGTTTATTCCCGTGGTTTTCAAACCACTGTATGAGAATTTCTCAGAGAGCTTTTAAAAGTCCCTGCTCCTACATATCTCTCCTATGCCAATTAAATCAAAATGTTATGGGGAGGAAGCCAGGCATCAGTAGCTTTTGAAGAAGCCCAGGCAATTCTAAAGTATAGCAAAATTTGGGAACTGCTGGCTTATTTTAAGGACTGGAGCTAAGAGAAAGATATTTTCTTACTATGGTCACTGTTTCAGATAATCTGAGTCAAAATAAAGGAACACAGGTAAGAGGAAACAGTTCATCCCAGTTCCTCCCTCTTAGGCCTGATGCACTGAGCTCCAAAAAGATAAGATATGGAGCTAGATAGAGGAGGTAGTTGCACAACATTTGTGAATGTACCAAATACCGCTGAATTGTTCACTTTAAAATGATTGATTTTGCAGTGTGTGAATTTTAGGGGAAGAAAACAAGATAAGATACTTCCTGCCCGGTGCAGTGACTCAAGCCTGTAATCTCAGCACTTTGGGTGGCTGGGGTGAGAGGACTGCCTGAGCTCAGGGGTTTGAGACCAGCCTGAGCAACTTGACGAGACTTCATCTCTACAATAAATCAAAAAATAAGCCAGGCATGGTAGTGCATGCCTGTAGTTCCAGCTACTTGAAAGGTTGAGGCGGAAGGATCACCTGAGCCCAGTGCGTCGAGGCTGCGGTGACCTTGAGCATGCCACTACACTCCAGCCTGGGCTACAGAGTGAGACTCTGACTCAAAAAAAAAGATACTTCTTCACTGCATGTGATGCAGGCTCCAACATTCCATCCTCTGAACTTCTATGCCTCATCCTAAAGCAGAGCATTCTCCTTTGGGAAGTATAAATATTATTTATCACATAGACATCCAAAGTTCTTGTTTAAGGGAAAATGAAAATGGTCAATTCAGGCTTCCTTGAGGACAGAAACCGTAACTTGTTCATCTCTACAGTCCTAGCACACTGCAAACATTTTGTTTTCTTTACAAAAGGTGTGATGCCATGTGAATAAAGTCAGCTCCATTGTGAGATCCTTGATTTCACTAATTGTCCTTTGCTATTTTGGGGACTTTTGTGTCAGTGACCAGCATATCCGATGTGATCTGAATTGGTTATTTCTTTTTTTTTTTCCCCCGCACTCTCACACAGAATGAGTTGGCCAATGTAATCTTGTATGTTACCTTGTAACAGGGTTGAGCAAGCAGGTGAAGTGCTGCAACAATCTGCTAGAGAAACTACTAAGTGCCAAAACACTAGATCGCATGAACCGCTTATTTTAGAAAGTTCAGGTGTAAACTTATTAACAAACCAAATGGAAAGGCGAAGTGTTTTCTTTAGTCTTAAGTGCTATCTCAGAAAACTTTTTCTCTGAATTTCTAGCTTTCAAACTTGACTTGTAGGACCATTTGTCTACTTTTACTATGTAAGAAAATAAATTATGTCAGTATAAATTAAAAGGAAAACATACCATCTTTGAGTTATGTAATAGATCCATTTGGAACTAGTCATACTGACTTGAGTAAAGATCTATGGCTTCTTTGGTTTTCAGAAATTTCTTCCTGCTTTCTATTTCCTTTTAGCTTTCCAAAGAATCCCTTCAATCTGCCGATGTCCTCCGAGAGGAAGTTAGTGAGATCTTGGATGAAATGAGTCACAAACTGCGTCTGGGAGCCATTCGGTTTTTTGCCTTCAGCCTAAGCAAAATATTTAAACAGATTTTTTCGAAGGTGTGTGTAAATGAAGAAGGTATTCAGAAAGTGAGTATTGATGTTAAAAAGAACAATCTCTTCAACCCCTCGCAATTCAGTCAACTCTAGGACATCTCACTTGATAAGTAAAAGCCTAGTACTGTTATCAGGCCTCCAGTCGGGGCAGAAGAGGCAGTGTCTCTCTGGAGATTGGTTCATTTTCCCTTTTAACTTCAGACCTACAGACTTCAGACTAACTTAGTCAAATAAGGCTTATAGAACAACTTAATGTCGCATGTTCACTAAAGGTGCAAAAACTAATACAAAGAATTTCTAATGGGCTTTACCTGATTCCCCTACAACTTTTCCTTTATCTTTTCCCCAATACTCTGGTGTATTTTTTCTGTAATTAAGAATGTTCTCTTATGGTTCAGTTATCAAAAGAAGAAAATTAACATTGATAGCACACTAGTAATAAACCTCATTCATATTTCACCAGTTGTCCCAGTTATGTTCTATAGAGCAAAAGAAAGTCTCAGGCAGTATGTTGTATCCCACTTTCACATCTCTCTCAACCTTTTTAATCTAGAACAGAATCTGAGTCATTTTGTTATGTTTCATTTTTTAAATTTTTTTTATTAAAAACAGGCCAAGGCTGGGCTCAGTGGCTCAGCCTGTAATCCCGTGCTTTGGGAGGCCGAAGTGAGTGGATAGCCTGAGCCCGCGGGTTCGAGACCCTCCTGGGCAACTTGATGAGACCTCATCTCTACAATAAAGCAAAAAATTTTCTGGGTGTGGTAGCGCGTGCATGTAATCCCAGCTACTTGGAAGGCTGAGGTGGAAGGATTGCCAGAGCCCAGCAGGTTGAGGCTGCAGTGGCTGGGAGCAGCCACTGCACTCCAGTCTGGGCGACAGAGTGAGACTCCAACTCAAAAAAATTAAAAATAAAAACAGGCCAATTACTTTATAGTGCCCCATGATTTGAATTTGAGCGGTGCTATTTCAATATTAGATTCACGTTATGTACTTTGGCAGGAATACTCTGGAACCTGTGTTGTGTTCTCAGGGCATCATATCAGGAGCAGATGGTGTCTGTTGGTCCTGTTACTGGAGATGCTCACTTTCATCAGTTGGTTTAGGAGCTGTCTGCCAGGCTTCTCCACTGTAAAGTGACTGGTTTTTGCCTTTATGGTTAATAAGTATCTTGTGTAGAGACACTTTTGAGAATCGTTAAGTATCCTATTTTCCATGATACTTTTCTCCACGAGTTTTTCCATCCACTGATGAGTTTTGGCTGAATCAGTTATTACTCTAATGATTGTAAAATGCTGATATTTCTAATTTTGTAACTTGTATTATTTATTTTTGCTTTTTCCTGTAAGAAAGAGCTTTCTCTATGGAGATTATTTTAATTCATTTGTGTTTTTTTAATAGTTTTTCCTTATAGAAAGGCTCCTAACTTCATTTACCTTCTTCCTCATGCCTTTTAATATTCTGTTTTTACTGAATCATTTACTTTCCTGTTAAATATTTCTTTTTCCTCTTACGACTGTTTTTGAGATTGCTGATCTATTCTCTGGATCTGTCAAGAAAACATTCAGTAAAGTGTTTGGCACTGGTGTTGGTGAGCTGTGTCTTAACTGATCACAGATCACTTGGTCTTTGTTAGTTATATTTAAATTCCAGAGAAACCTGACACATTGATATTTGTGACTATTCATGAGGTTAGTGGCCTGAGAAATATATTTGGAGACTTAAATGTATCCCTTCCAACTACCTGGTACCCTTCTCCCTGTCAGTGAGTCCAGCACTTAGAGAAATACCATTCTTTTCACTCTGTCCTAATAATTTATAGAATTTTTTAAAAATCTTCCCAAGAGAAGCTTTGTTTTCTATTACTACTACCAGCCAATTTAGTGCAGTGGTTAGCAGTTGATTTTTTAAGTCAGACTGACTTGAGTTCCATTCCCAGTTCTACCGTTGGTTGGATGCATGACCATTTTACAGTCAAGGAAGCTAAGACTGAGGCCTTAATTTACAAAACTGTGGTGTTAAACTATGTGTGTAAGATGACTGGTGTGGGTAAAGTGATGCTGATACAGTGCCCAACATATATGTGTTAGCCATCATCACTATTATTCTGATCCAATAAAATTTACATTTTTAATATTCATGCACTATGTGAAATTGTTCAACTAGAACTCTGAAATAATACTTTGACCTAATCAGAGTACATTGTATATATGATAGAGGAGATATAAAAAGATGGTTAGTATTCCCTCTACAGATAAACTATTCTTCTGTTTTCTGATTTGAAATGTGGTTTTTAATAACATGACAACTGAAATAGTCAAAATGTAACATTTGTGTTCAAGCTACAACGAGCCATCCAGGAACATCCTGTGGTTCTGCTGCCCAGTCATCGAAGTTACATTGACTTCCTGATCCTGTCTTTTCTTTTGTACAACTATGATTTGCCTGTGCCAGTTATAGCAGCGGGAATGGGTACGTTTTGTTTTTTTTACTGTCTTTTCACTTAAAAATTAAAATGTTCGCTGGAATGATTGTAGTAATACTGAGGTATCTGAAGAAGATCCTGAAAGCAGCCCTGTTTAACAGTTGGGGTTACGTTCTTCCACACTGCGCCTTACGGTGCCCCAGCAGACATACAGGCAGTGGATGCACACAGCATTCTTTGGTTTGGTTTTGGAAAACGAACTATGCTGCCTACATGTACCTGCCTCTTGCTTTCTTCATTTGGTAGTATATCAATGGCTATCTCTCCAAGCAATAGATAGATCTAACTTTTTAAATACGTTTTTAATTGTGGCAAAGTGTTCATGACATAAAATTGGTACATTAGAAACCATCTTTAATGTACATTAAATATGTTGTATACATTAAAGGTACATTAATGTACAGGTAAGAGGCATTAGGTACATCCACATTATTGGGCTACCATCCCCACCATCCATCTCCAGAGCTCCTCATCTTGCAAAACTGAAATGGCACCCATTCCCTGTTCCTCCCCAGAATCATAGAGTATTTGTCCTTTTGAGACTAGCATAAGTAAAATATGCTAGCATAATGTCCTTCAGGCTCATCCATGTTGTAGCATGTATCAGATTTTCCTTCCTTTTTAAAGTTGGAAACACATATCTGCTCAAGACCCTGTTTTCCTTTTTTTAGATGTACACTAAGAAATAGAATTGCTGGATCATATGTTAATTTTCTTTCTAATTTTTTTGAGGAACCACCATACTGCTTTCCATAGCAGCTGTACCGTTTTACATTCCCATGAACAGTGCACCGAAGTTTCCATTTTTCTATATCATGTCAACACTTGCTATTTTCTGATTTTTTAAAATAATCATTCTAATTGGTGTGAAGTGGTATCTCATTATAGTTTTTTTTGCACTTCCCCAGTGATTAGTGAGACCGAGCATCTTTTTTGTGTGTGCTCATTGGCTGTCTGTGTCTTCTTTGGAGAAATGTCTAATTGGGTCCATTGCCTTTTTTTTTTTTTTGAGTTGGAGTCTCATTCTGTCACCCAGACTGGAGTGCAGCAGCCGCTCCCAACCACCGCAGCCTCAACCTGCTGGTCTCCGGCGATCCTTCCACCTCAGCCTTCCAAGTAGCTGGAACTACAGGCACACACTACCATGCCCGGCTAATTTTTTATTTATTGTAGAAATGAGTCTCGCCAAGTTGCCCAGGCAGGTCTCGAACCCGCGGGCTCAGGCAGTCCACTCACTTCAGCCTCCCAAAGTGCTGGGATTACAGGCTGAGACACCGAGCCCAGCTCATTGCCCATTTTTTAATTGGGTTGTTTGTTTTCTTTGTTGAGTTGTGAAGTTCTTTATATATTCTTGGTATTTATCCCTTATCAGATATGTGATTTGTAAATATTGTCTTCCATTTCATGGGTTACCTTTTCACTCTGTTCATAGTGTTCTTTGATACACAGAAGTTTTTAATTTTGATGTACTCCAGTTTATCTATTTTTTAAATTTTATTCCCTGTGCTTTTGGTGTCAGATCCAAGAAATCATTTTCAAACCCAGTGTCATGAAGCTTTTCCCTGATGTTTTCTTCTAAGAGTTTTATAGTTTCAAGTCTTGCATGCAGATCTTTGATCCTTTGAGTTAATTTTTGCATATGGTGTAAGATGAGGGTCCAGCTTCACATCTAACATTATTTTTTTGTTTGTTTGTTGTTTTTGTTTGTTTGTTTTTGAATTGGAGTCTCACTCTGTAGCCCAGACTGGAGTGTAGTGGCCGTTCCTGGCCACTGCAGCCTCGGCCTGCTGGGCTCCGGCAGTCCTTCCACCTCAGGCTTCTGAGTAGCCGGAATTACAGGCACACGCTACCATGCCCGGCTGATTTTTTATTTATTGTAGGGATGAGGTCTCGCCAAGTTGCCCAGGTGGGTCTCGAACCCGCAGGCTCAGGCAATCCACTCACCTCAACCCCCCAAAACACGGAATTACAGGCTGAGCCACCGAGCCCGGCTTTAACATTATTTTTAATAGCTGTATAATATTCAGCCATTTAAATATTTCATAGTTTATTAGTTTTGCTGTTACAAATAGTGTTGCAATGAATTTTTATATCAGTGCTTTTATTTCTGTAAGATTGATTCCTAAAAGTAGGATGCTGAGGCAAGTAAATTGTTTATCAACTCCCTTTTAAGGTAGATGGGAAAGCTGGGATTCAAGTGTACACCTTCATTAGTAAATGAAGCAAACAGTATGGTACAAACTGCCAGGGTTTTAACACTTTAAAAGCATTTTCATATGAATAAACATATGAAGAAGTTGTTTGAAATTAGGGAAAGTGAAAAGAAGGACTGTTCTAAAACTGCTGAAGCCAGGCACAGTAGCTCATACCTGTAATCCCAGCACTTTGGGAGGCCAAGGTGGGAGGATCTCTTAAAGCCAAGAGTTCAGGACCAGCCTGGGCAACATAATAAGACTGCAGCTATACAAAAAAATTTAAGTTAGCCAGTCATGATGGCGTGTGCCTGTAGTCACAGCTACTCAGGAGACCGAGGTAGAAGTATTGCTTGAGTCTAAGAGTTGAGGTTGCAGTGACCTATGATTGTGTCACTGCACTCCAGCTTGGACAACAGAGTGAGACCCCATCTCTAAAAATAAAATAGAATTGCTGGTAGAACTCTTTCTTACAAGATTTGCTTTATCTAATGTGTTCCACTAAAAGTAAGTTGGTATTTTTACTTAATGGGAGAAAGATGAGAGCTAGCTTGGCCTGACTGTCCAGAGCATAAGGGCATGTGTTGATCTGTCGTCAACTTCAGCAGCAGGGCTAACTAAAGAAATTGGCATTATGAGATTATTAAGTTGTCACTTAGCTCTGCTGTCGCCCCTGGTGTGTAGCCAGCCTGTTTTTAAATGCAGTGGTGCCAGGTAAGCTCCCAGCAAGCAAGCACCTGGCTCACTGAATCCCATCTTTTCATAATTCTACTGGCTGTCTCTTATGGATTTTAACCTCAGAAAGTAGAATCATTAATATCATTGGGGTATCTCACATATATGAAATCTGAATAATGTTTGAGGTTAGATCTTTATAGAAAGCCTCAAGACCTACAAACAAATCTAACTTCTCCTTTATTTTTTAGACTTCCTGGGGATGAAAGTGGTTAGCGAGCTGCTGCGGATGTCCGGTGCCTTTTTCATGCGGCGTACCTTTGGGGGCAATAAGCTGTACTGGGCTGTGTTCTCTGAATATGTAAAAACCATGTTACGGGTAAATGCAAATAATTGCCAACTACTCTCAAGCTATTTTTTCTTCTCACTGATGTTTGCTTGTTTACATTCTTAGCCTCTGAATACACTGGCTTAGCTTTTTTTCCCCTTCAAGGAAGGTTCATAACCTCAGCAATCTGTTTAATCTGTGTGACTCTTTTGTTTAAGTCTTGCTGTAAGCAATGTTTGTTCAGGGAGCTGGGAGGGAGCTTGGGAAGAGGAATCAAAATAAGCATTTCTCATTCTGAGAGTAGGCAACGGGTTTTGTGTTTTGTTTTGTTTGTTTGTGTTTTCTCTTTAAAGAATGGTTATGCTCCTGTTGAATTTTTCCTCGAAGGCACAAGAAGCCGCTCTGCCAAGACATTGCCTCCTAAATTTGGTAGGTGACTGCGGATTTGAAGGAAAAAATACAAACCAAAGGCTTTTGATGTGATGTTGTCCTAACTGCTACATAGAACTTGACACTTTTTTAAAAACAAGATATTCTTTTCTCTGTAAGTGTAACTATTTAGGATTAACCTTTAAATCAAGGACTTGATGTGTATGTATGCTATTTTTTTTTTTAATTTAAAGTTGTGCGGTATAATTCAGGGTTAGGTATACAAATAGTCATTGTGTAGGTAAAGTTTGGGCCTTACTTTGGTCCCCATTTCACCTGATTTGAAATCAGGTACCCTAATTGATGAGGTATACCCTCCTCTCCGCCTCCTCTGGCAGTATCTTCCCATGTGTGCTCTATTCTTCAGTATCTGAGATGAGACATTTTCCCCTGTGTTCACAGGTCTTCTGAATATTGTGATGGAGCCATTTTTTAAAAGAGAAGTTTTTGATACCTACCTTGTCCCAATTAGCATCAGCTATGATAAGATATTGGAAGAAACTCTTTATGTGTATGAACTTCTAGGGGTTCCTAAGCCAAAAGAATCTACAACTGTACGTAAAGGAGAGCCAAACTTGATTCTGTTTGAACTTAGAGAATATGCTAACTCACACATCAACTAATTTCTGAATTTACTCCTCTTTGTTTTCTTTTCTTTTCTGGTGATACTATTAGGGGTTGTTGAAAGCCAGAAGGATTCTCTCTGAAAATTTTGGAAACATCCATGTATACTTTGGAGAGCCTGTGTCACTTCGGTCTCTAGCGGCTGGGAGGATGAGTCGGAGTCCGTATAACTTGGTTCCAAGGTACAAGGGCTATGTTTTAATAGCTGTCATAGAAATAAGGGTTAAGACCAGCTTATGCCTGTAATCCTAGCACTTTGGGGGGCTGAGACGGGAGGATCTCTTGAGGCCATGAGTTTTAATTTTAGACCACCCTGGATAACATAGTGAGACCCTAGACTTTTCAAAAATAAAAAATGTAACCGGGCATGGTGACCCATCTACTACTAACCTGTAGTCCCAGCTACTTAGGAGCCTGAAGTAGGAGGGGCCTTTGGGCCCAGAAGTTTGAGGCTGCGGTGAACCGGGATGCCACCACTGTACTTCAGAGCAAGACTTTGTCTCTTAAAAAAGGTGGGGAGGGGATTAAAATCTAAAAGCATGAGGTGGCTCAGCCTGTAATCCCACGCCTTTGGGAGGCTGAGGTGAGTGGATTGCCTGAGCCCGCGGGTTCGAGACCCGCCTGGGCAGCGAGACCTCATCTCCACAATAAATCAAAAAATCAGCCAGGCGTGGTAGCACATGCCTGTAATTCCGGCTACTTGGAAGACTGAGGCGGAAGGATCGCCGGAGCCCAGCAGGTCGAGGCTGCGGTGGCCGGGAGCCACCACTGCACTCCAGTCTGGGTGACAGAGTGAGACTCCAACTCAAAAAAAAAAAAAAAAGAAAAATCTAAAAGTATGAATTGTGATTTCTTGAATTGACCATTTCTAAGACTGAAGCTTTGTTTATGTGAGATCACACAGCAAATTTTCAGGGATATTATACCATTCTATTTTCATCAGCAGAAAGCTTCAATTAAAGAAGAATTATGTGTTTGATAAAAAACAGTGATTAGCTGTAAGGTGTCAAATATGCAAAGTCAGATGGTGATTATCCTTCTAGGGGAACTAACTTAAGTGGGAAAAATAACGCCATTATTAACAAGTATATATACTGGAATTATTGCACACTATTGTTAGACCAGAGATAGTATGTACTATAGTATGTACTAAGTATGATTTTTAATACTAGAAGCAATTGCATAATAATGAATGGAATATAATCTCTATTCTCAAGAAGATTATAGTTTTATGGACAAGAAAATATATTAGTTTCTTCCTGGATGTAAGGTACAGATATACTTTTAGGGTTTCTTAGTTTAGAAAAATATTCTTGGACAAGGAGGGGAGATACATTTATCCAGCCAGGCCTCACACACCTGCAACGTTATTTATTTGTCTGTAGCCTTAGCAGTTCCCCAGCAGTTACATTAGTCAATTCAGAAGCAGATATTAGCTTTTTGCTGCTGCAGGCTTGCTTTCTCTAGATCTTGGTTCGAGTTGACCAGTTATTATTTAATGCAGGGCACACTTATTGGCAACAGCCATCTTAATGTGGCTGCTCTTAGGTCGTGTGTGTATGTCTCCTCCAGCTCTGGGTAGGCCTTGTCATGTGATTCAGAGTTTGATGTTCCATGCATGACGTCAAGCAAACTGAATGGTCTGTCCAGTACAGACACAAGCAGTTGTAATGGAATCTGATAGTGTGTTCTGCAGTAGAGATATGTTCAGTAGGCAGTGGATTCTAAAAAGATAGTAGTAGTTCAGTCTACTGGAGGAGGCATCTGTTTTCACAGAATTAATACATCCTATTTATAAAGCAACACAAGTTTTTGGCTAGAACTGGGAATAATAGGACCCTAATCCCTTAAGTATTTTTTATTAACCTCTCAAGAGCATACCCTAGAGATGCATGGATAGGTTACACTATAGTAAAGCAAAAGAATGCTTCTTGCATGTGCATTGAAAGAATTGTTGGCAGACAATGTGAGAAGCCCTCTGATGGCTCAGTCTCCTCCAGTTCCCATTTGCCTAGGTAGCAGAACTTAATTTGTTGTTCTGTACTTTTCCTTTTAGGTATATTCCTCAGAAACAATCCGAGGACATACATACCTTTGTTGCTGAAGTTGCCTACAAAATGCAGCTTCTGCAAGTTGAAAACCTGGTTCTGAGCCCATGGGCCCTAATAGTTGCTGTTCTGCTTCAGAACCGACCATCCATGGACTTTGATGCTCTGCTGGAAAAGACTTTATGGCTGAAAGGCTTAACCCAGGTGTTCGGAGGGTTTCTTATTTGGCCTGGTATGTAAGTGTGACATATGTGGTGAGACTGTTTGCTTAACCCTTTGCACTCAGATATCCCCTCTGAGGGGACATCATAAATCTAGCAAACCACCAGATATCTCCTCTCAGGGGACATAAAGATATTGCTGGTATGATAGAAGACAAACTTATGCCAGCACAAGTTTTTCAAAAATGTGTGTTTCCTTCAAGTTTTCCATTCTAATTGCACAAAACAAGAGATGGAGAATATATACATATACTGAAATATGATTGATCAGTTGAGAAGTGTTTTCAGGAATCACAAGTGTGTCCTTCCACATCTTTGAACAACAGACTGGACAGTAAATTACATACTATTAATGTAGGAGGAAGAAAACAAGACTGCATTGTCTGCTCAAATATAAAAACACCAGGTGGAAGATGTCAAACAAATGACTGTTGCACAACTTGTATCAATGAACCTGCCATGCATGTCGGTGACTGTTTGACATGTTACCACAGGTTAGAAAAATATAAGATACAAAATTTTGATTTTTTTTATTATAAATAAGTTCCTCAATGTCCAAAATTCCATTATAAGCCAAGTATCACTGCAATAAAATAATTGGTTCCAGCACTATACCATTTAATATGAAGTGATTTGTTTTTCACTGGTTCATAAAAACACACTGTCAAGTTGTGGGTAGGTAATCCATGAGATGTCTCCAAGTACAAAGGGTTAATTTGGAAAAGTTGTAGCCTGGACCTTAAAAACCTGTAGAGGAGCCGGGCTCGGTGGCTCAGCCTGTAATCCCGCGCCTTTGGGAGGCTGAGGTGAGTGGATTGCCTGAGCCCGCGGGTTTGAGACCCGCCTGGGCAGTGAGACCTCATCTCTACAATAAATTAAAAAAATCAACCGGGCGTGGTAGCGCATGCCTGTAATTCCGGCTACTTGGAAGGCTGAGGCGGAAGGATCGCCGGAGCCCAGCAGGTCGAGGCTGCGGTGGCCGGGAGCGGCCACTGCACTCCAGTCTGGGCGACAGAGTGAGACTCCAACTCAAAAAAAAAAAAAACCTGTAGAGGACTTTGAGCAGCACATGGATCAGAGAGAGAAAGAGCACTTAATCTGTTTTTTTCACTATAGGTCATTAAGCACAGCATGTTGACTATTGAGAATTACTGTTTGTGAGTCATTTCTCCCTACAAGACTCTGAATACCTTGAATCTATCTTAATAACATCTCCTTGGCACCTAGCAGAGTGGAGAATGATGGTGCAAATTATTTTGTGTCGCACCACTTCTTCCCTCCACACCCACCTCTTTTTAAACCTCATCATATTTGCAAATCATAGCCGCACTGCATTGTGAAGATTATAGGGCTGGCCTTGTAGCACTTTATGCAGCTCTCTGATAATAACAATTTTGTTAAAACCTGATTGGAGTTATGAATCCTATGCTAGGAGTTTGGAATGTATAGGAGGACCCCAGAAAACTGGAATTTATTGATTAAAAACTGTGTATTCTTGCATGTTTACACTTCAGTCACCCTCAAATTACTCTGTGTTTGATATAGTATGCCTATTGAGATGCTTTTTCCACTGCTCAGAACAGTTTTTGAACTTGTCGATTTTGATGCCTTTCAGTGCTTCTGCTGCTTTTTGTTCCTCATTGGCAAAATGTTTCCTATGAGGACTTTTTCCATCTGAGGAAACAGGAAAATGTCACTTGGGGTGAACAGGAAGGGTGGGACATGGGGTCATGCCACTTGGGGTCAAACACTGCTGAACACTCAGCGCAGTGCGGGCAGGTATGCTATGTGGAAAAACCAGCTGCCTGTTTGCCGCGACGTGGGATGTTTCTTCTGCAAATCGTGGCGCAGCCTTCTCAAAACCTGCAGATGAAAACTTTGGTTGACTCTTTGATCCAGAGGAACAAATTCCGAGTGTACTCCAAGGGGTCTGCCCTCCGAGAGATACTCCAGGCTTTTTTGGGGCCCCCCTCATATACGACCGTGTTAGCTTGAGTTCTTTCGATGCCGTTGGTTTAGAGTCGTACAGATTACAGTTGGACAGATCATTCCTCATCGTCAGGTCCTGCTTGTACCTGCAGGGGCCTACCGTTCACCCGTCAGTCCTGTTGACACTGGGTGCTACCAGGGCCGTAGAGATGAGCAAGATGTGATCCCTGTCCTGGAGGCTCCGGTTAGTGGCAGGCAGGGGTTGATGGGGATGGTGTCAACTATTCGTAGTCATAAGCGCTCCACGAAATGGAGGCAAGGAGCTAAGGACACGGCAGAGGGCTCCAAGAACGCTGTGGTGGGAACAGCCCATCCGCAGGCAGATTCCATGGGGGTGACCTGGGGAGCAACGTTGACGGGAAAGCCGGAGCTCTTCCAGAAGACGGGGGGAGGAGCCCCGTCGAGTCGGGAGCGAGAGAACTTGAGGTGGCAGGCCCAGGCAGCAGGGCTGCGTTGGTGATTCCAGAAGGTTGACTGGCTCAGGGCGTGCTGGAAGAAGAGGGCGTGGCGAGTCGCAGTCACACGGGCCTGCAGACTTGGGGATCTGGACCAAGACCTACAGGCCGTGGGATGTGCCCACAGACCTTAAGCAGGGAAACGTTGCAGGTTGGCCTTTCGGGAACAAGCTGGTATTCGTGGGGAGAGACTGGAGCCAGGGAGACAAAATGGAAGGCTGCCGGGCCCAGATGAGAAGTGAAGGGGCCTGCGTCACAGCAGTGGCAGCACACAGAGCTAGCAAGGAGGTGCTGAGAAGAATTCCTGACAGAAGTGCTCATCGGTAGAAGGCCAGTCACCAAGGGGGAAGGAAAGATGAGTCGGACACCTGTTCTCAGTACTGTGATGGTCTAAAGGACACATGCATTATGATGCAAGGTAGTAAGTGTTGGATGTCATGAGAGAGGAGCGGGTGGAGGACTAAGGCCCTCACCGTTTGGCCCGGGAGCGTGAGAACACAGGCCCCTAGCCGGGCTTGGTGGCTCAGCCTGGAATCCCGCGCCTTGGGATGCTGAGGCGAGTGGATGGCCTGAGCCCGCGGGTTCGAGACCCGCCTGGGCAACTTGGCCAGACCTCATCTCTACGATAAATCAAAAACTAGCCGGGTGTGGTAGCCCGCTTGTAGTTCTAGCTACCTGGAAGGCTGAGGCGGAAGGATCGCCCGAGCCCAGCAGGTCGAGGCTGCGGTGGCCGGGAGCGGCCGCTGCCCTCCAGTCTGGGCGACAGAGTGAGACTCCGACTCAAAAAAAAAGAAAAAGAAAACATAGGCACCTATCCTTCCAAAGTGTTTCACTTTTCAATGTGGGATGTGTACATGACTAGTCTGTAGCTGAGAGTATCTGTTCAGCCACTACAGCAGCTCCACTTAACATCAAGTAAGAGTTGCTTGGTGTCCAAATGACAGTCATAGGCGAGTGGTGAAAGGTAAGTCCTAATTTAGAACACATTCTAGATATTCAGTCCCTTTTTCACTCAGATCTGGCTCACATCCCTCAGCATTCTCATATCTAGAACGTTAATGATCGTTTTATATAGAACATGATGAACTTGAGCAAACTGAGAAAATGCAGGCTGGTTAAGAATGTGATTGAGGCCAGGCATAGTAACTCATACCTGTAAACCCAGCCCTTTGGGAGACCATGGTGGGAAGATCTCTTGAGCCCAGGAGTTTGAGAACAGCCTGGGCAACAAAGCGAGACCTCCTCCTCAAAAAAATAAAAATGTTTTTTTAAAAAGGATGAATGTGATTGAATCCAAGAAGAAAGCCATACCTCTCGTTGTCCCAGAACTTGGTGCCCAAGTACACCTCAACTGAAACTGAAACCTGGCACTTGAAAATAAGTGTCTGTCAGGTTACTAGCAGTGATGTGTACTAGGCCTGAGATGCCACATACCACTGTCAGCAAGCTCTTTGGCTTGGGTTCACAGTAAAATGATTTCCCCAGCTGAGAATATTTGTTAAGTATCACCGTCTCTTCATTATGTTTCTGTAGTTTTTGCTTAGCTGTCTGCAGGCCGATGTATTGGATAAGCCACCGGGAACTGGGATGGATCTGCTGCTTTGGTTATCTTTGATGTGGGAAAAGCAGGGACTCTCCTCAGCATCCCTCTTCTTGTGGAGGCCTAATGCTAGAACTGTGCCTCTGTAGGCTGCCCTCCAGGCCACCTACAAAGTGGTGTTCTTGCTGTGGGTCTAAGCAAGCTGTGTGTGTGTGCATGCGCGTACACATGCATGTGTGTGTAAGAAGTGTGTTTGGGTGTATTTATATGCTAGTTATGGGCTTTTTGTCTTAGTGTTGTTAAGGTCACATGCATGTGGTTTTCCAGTTTGCTTCTGGAGGTAGACAGGGGAAGTGCTGATTTTCAGAGTGGGGACTGATTTGCATTTCAGAATGGCTGACACGTTTGATAAGAAGGATGTTACATGTCCTTAGACAGTATTTATGAGATAGTGTGTTTTCCATTTTCTTCACGTGTGATGTCATTACCTGATTGGCAGAAACCGAAACCTGGCACGTGAAAAGAAGTGTCTGTCAGGCTACTAGCAGTGATGTGTCCTGGGCCTGAAGTGCCCTGCGGCCCCCGCCTGACGGAATGACTTGTCTTTGTGCAGACGAGCCTGCCGAAGAAGTGGTCCAGTCCAGCCTTCTCCTGCACTCCAACCTCGCCATCCTTGTCCGAGACCAGGTGGTTCTGAAAGTGGACTCCGGAGACTCGGAAGTGGTCAATGGACTTATCTTCCAGCACATCACCCTCCTCATGTGCTCAGCTTATAGGAACCAGTTGCTCAACGCTTTTGTCCGTCCTTCCTTAGTAGCTCTAGCATTGCAGATGACACCTGGGTTCAGGAAAGGTAACTTTCGGGAATGTGACCTTGCATTTTAGAAGAGGCCCGGCCATTCTGTTACTCGCAGGGAACATCTGCAGCCTTGCAATGCTCAGCCACATCTGTGCGCCCTAAACCCCAATAAGGAACTGCCCATACACTCAGCAGTTAGCTCCATTCCCTAGTTACGTGGCCGACAACCTAGAATCTTGAAATTGTAAGGACCTAGAAATGATCTAACCTATACCTTTTATTCTATAAATAAGGAAAACTGGACCTAGAAAGTTGCATAGTAACTCAGGGAAGGACTTGGCATTTGAGCACAGTTCACTGCTTTGTTTCTGCTGTCACAGTTCCTCGGTCCCGCAGAGGCAGGGGGGCGGACAAGCAGGCCAGCAGTGCATGAGTACTTAGGAAAAGCCCAGCAGCCTTCCAGCTATACTGAGGAGTGTAAAAACGAGTAACACGGTTCTTGTTCACAGGAGCCTCGAGCAAGGCGGGGGTTTCTGCCCTTGTTAGAATGACTAGGGGCGTGAGTCCCTCGCTGAAGATTTCTTTTTCAGTTGGTCTGGGGTGTGGGCCAGCCATTGGTATTTTGTTTTGGTTTTTCAAAGCTCAACAGGTGATTCTAAGGGAAAGGGCTAAAGATAAAAAGATACCAGGAACGTGTATATGGAGGGAAACTAAGAAAAGTTTTTTTCCTTCTCTGCTAGAGAACATGGGGTAGGGGGACATGAGGTACTCTAGCCTCCAAGGACTGGTGTCTTGCTCGTCACCAGACTGACTAGTTAGAGGCCTGGCTGTAATTTAGATTCAGCCTTTAAAAAATATGCTAGGCGGCTTGGTGGCTCATGCCTGCAATCCTAGCACTTTGGGAGGCTGAGGCGTGAGGATTGCTTGAGCCCAGGAGTTTAAGACCAGCCTGGGAAACATAGCAATATCAAAAAAAAAGAGCTGGGTTTGGTGGTATGTATCTGTAGTTCCTGCTACTCAGGAGCCTGATGTGGGAGGATCACTTGAGCCCAGGAGTTGGAGCCTGTGGTGAGCCCTGATGGTACCACTGCACCCCAGCCTGCACAATGGAGCGAGACCCTGATTCAGAAATAAAATGTGCTAGACTAGCTTGTAGGTAAAATCTAGATTGACTTTAGCTTCCTTTAGTGGACTTAATTCTTGTCTCTGTTAAATGAATAAAAATGTACCTTTGACATACTATATTTGGGAGTATCATGGACTTCCTGATACTCCTGAAACTGTAAAAAGCACTGTTGTAATTTTACACAACGAATTTCTTTTCAGAGGATGTCTATGGTTGCTTTCGCTTCCTACGTGATGTTTTTTCAGATGAGTTCATCTTCCTTCCAGGAAATACAATAAAGGTAAAGCTCTTAAGACAAAGAACAAGTGTGTTTGCAATGTGAGTTCTGGAAATGTTAGGCATGAATTCACAGACACGTTTCAGGCAGTGTGTCGTGCGTTTTTTCAAGGTGAAGTGGGACAGACTTAAAGAGAAACTGGGGCCAGGCTTGTAGCTCACGCCTGTAACCCCAGTACTTTGAGAGACCGAGGCAGGAAGATTGCTTGAGTCCAGGAGTTCGAGACCAGCCTAGGCAACATAGTGAGACCTCATCTCTACAAAACATTAGCTGGACATGGTGGCGAGTGCCTGTCGTCCCAGCTACTCGGGAGGCTAAGGCAGGAGGGTCGCTTGAGCCCAGGAGTCTGAAGAGCAACTGGGACACAGTGTTCAGCAGACTCTAGTTTGATTCTTGGCCAAGTGTGATCAATAACTTAGGGGTTATCTAGAGAGAGGAAGGCCATTCTTTGAAACATTAGTGCAGCCACTATGAATAAACTAACTCTATGTCAGTAGACATTTAAAAATCAATACACACTTTCCTGTCAACTTGTTGGGATGAGTCAACCAAGCAGGTGACTTTTGCTTTGAGAGTAGCAAGTTGTTTTGCCTGATGGTGTAGACAACTGAAGAGTCGCCAGCCTCCCAGGACTGGGCTGTTTTGTTGGGGTAGGGAGTAACAGAGTCGATGAGAAGAGGGGTTAATTTCTTTATGCTATGCTAAGGGCAACAGGTTTGATTCTGTTGGGAGTGGGCAGGGGTGCCAGAGATTTTTGAGCTTAGACATAATTCTCAATACTTTTAGGACTTGGTACATGTACTTCCTGTTTAAATTAAGGAATGTGGCTATGCAAAGAGAAGGCAAATCCATTACCCGGGTTGTGATTTTTAAGACTCATACATTTTTTGTGTGTTTGCCGTGGCTGTTTAAAGCTCAACATTTTGAATGTTAGAACAAATGATTCCCTGACTACTGCCTGACAGCCAGGATTGTTCTGGGAGGGGCTTTGGAAATATCTGGTGTTCTCTTGTCTCAGGGCACGAGGCAGCATATAGTAAGTTAGGAAGTGTACCTATTAACCTAAATTAGTGTGTGCGTTTTGGCTTTGCCTTCCCCTTCCAGGACTTTGAAGAAGGCTGTTACCTGCTTTGTAAAACTGATGCCATACAAGTGACTACAAGGGACTTCCTGGTTACAGAAAAAGGAAACACTGTGTTAGAATTTTTAATAGGACTCTTTAAGCCTTTTGTGGAAAGTTACCAGGTATGTAAATTTGGCAAGTTCTCCTTCATGCCCTGCATGTCAAATGTAGTAAGACTTTCTCACCCGGTGCGTATTTCCGGTCTGAAGGTCAAGTATCTTTCCCAGGCAAATGATGGAACTAGAGAAGCTGATGCATACAATGAGTGATTTCTCCTCCCCAGTGAGACCTTGTTCCCTGCATGTAGGAGGAAGCTCGATCCATTGCAGACCCAAGAGGATGGCAGCTTAGTGACACCCTGTGCACAGTGTTCACATGACCACAATTGCACCCAAGCATCATTTGTCAAACTGTAGCTTCTATCTTTTGTTCACAGCATGTAGCAAAGTGTTTGACCTCTAGTAGGCACTCAGTGAAAGCAAGACTTGAGTGATCCCTGTCACTTATTGATGTTGCTAAATGCTGGTGTTGGAAGGGAAAGAAAAAGTTGGAGTGCAAGTATCTGAAAGATTTTGTCAGACCTCTCAGGGTGGTTAGAGAGGGGGGGTGGTGTACATGCCCAGCAGGGATTGTGCCAGGATTCAGAGGAAGGGAGGGAGGGGGGGAGAGAGTTTGAAATGTAAACTGTAGGAGAGGCCCCATGCATTGTTGAGAAGAGGATTCTGTGACTCAGTTGCTTATACGTGCACCGGCTACAGCCCCAAAATGGCTTCCTTGCAGAGTGGTGCCTGTGGTGCATGAAACAGTCTGCATCCGCCTCCCTGCACAAAGTCTAGACTTAGTGAGCCCTGGATAAATATTAGTTCAGTTTCTCACCTTTCTATAGTAGAACTCATTTAGTATTTTAGGGACTGGTAGTTTGTTAGTGTATTCAGAGTAAAAAACAAAGTTATAAAAACCCAGCCCCTCTCTCTCAGGGAGTAGAAGAGAAATTAAGCTTATAGTAATTAACCTGTAACCACTGAAATGAGAAATTATACTTTAATAAAGATCGGTATAATCTAATTATAAAAAGTAGCATAAGAAACGTCCTAAAAATTCTTCAGATTTTCTCTGCCCAACCCTTGGAGTCTTTATGCTGCTCTACTACGAATGTCATTCTCTTAAGGGGCATCGCATAAAGTCATTGACTGTTCTGTTATATTTGGCTACCCTTTCTCTGTCTTTGTTCCTCTCATCCGCCTTCTTAAAATCAGATAATTTGCAAATACCTCTTGAGTGAAGAAGAGGACTACTTCACTGAGAAACAGTACTTAGCTGCAGTTAGAAAATTCACAAGTCAGCTTGTTGATCAAGGTCAGTCACAACTCTGGTTGGCGATTTATTTTAATTGGGAACAAAAAGCCATCCCCTGACTCTTCCTTGCCCTCTATTTCAGGTGCCTCTCAGTGTTATGATGTGTTATCGTCTGATGTGCAGAAGAATGCCTTAGCAGCTTGTGTGAGGCTCGGGGTGGTAGAGAAGAAGAAGGAGTAAGTGCTGTACAAGATCCAGGGTGCTAAAGGGCATGAATGGCATTTGAGCGTGGAATCCCGAGAGACATTGACTTGTGTGACCCAGTAAACTTTACATTGTACTTTACTTAGCTATTCCCGAATTAGTTATGTAAGCATGAGTCACCCTGAATATGTTATGTGGCTATGAATAAAAATGCAGTTGGAACAAAGAAAGAAAGCACTTTAGGCCAATATTTTGGCTTTGATCTCATGTTGAAATTTATAGATTACAAGAAAGAATTTTGGGGAGTATAGTTTGTGTGTACACAAACATGTAAACACTTATATTAATACATGATACATACATGGATGGACACATGCATATGTGTATCGTGTATGAATATGTGTGTACAGAGTGCCACTGCACTCCAGTTGGGCAACAGTGAGACTCCAGCTCAAAAAAATAAAGACAGAGAAAGACATGATGATGACAGTTTACACATCAAGCTTTATCACTGTTATCTATTTATATATATAGACACATATGCATGTGTCCTTCCGCCTCAGCCTTCCAAGTAGCTGGAACTGCAGGCATCTTCCACCACGCCTGGCTAATTTTTTTATTTATTGTAGAGACGAGGTCTCAGCAAGTTGCCCAGGCTGGTCTTGAGCCCCTGGGCTCAGGCAATCCTCTCGCCTTAGCCTACCAAAGTGCTGGGATTACAGGCGTGAGCCACCGTGCCCAGCAATCGTGTCTCTTATGTGGTTAGAAGAATGAAGCAGGAAGCCAAAAGGTAGGACAGGAGCAAGAGGCCTTTCAACTATTTAAGACTGGTTTAGCCGGGCTCGGTGGCTCAGCCTGTAATCCCGCGCCTTTGGGAGGCTGAGGT